TGCATTTGCTTTGTGATTTGAATTTAGTATTAGTAGATGTATGATCAACAGTTTGAGAATTAGGTTGAGATTTAAGAAGTATATTGAGAAAATCGTTAATAGAAGAAATGTAATGGTTTGGTAGAATAGTAAGCTCATGTGATAAATAAATGTAAGCTTCAGTTTTGTCTGTTTTTAGTATTATCATTGAAGAATTTAATAAGTGTGTAGAGTTGATTTGTTATAAATATTGAAAGAAAGTTTTTATGATAGATTAAAGATATAGTAAAGGAGTTGATAATATTGAAGAAATTTGTTATAGCAGGTGTCCAAATCATAGGAGTTTAATGATGTTGATAATAATTTGGGTTGTGTATCTTCTGTAGGGTCGCTTGCTGTTTTAAGCTCGGTTTTCAAAGCTGCAAAGAGTGCCATAGCCTGCTCTGTACGTTGGGTCTGACCATTGTTATCTTAGTTCTCTGTGTTAATGCAAAGCTGTTAAAGAGCAGATTTAATAAAAGATATATAGAAAATAGAAGAGATGCCAGAAGATATAAAAGGTTGAAAAAGTAACTTAGCTTATCTAATATTACTAAAAGCAAAAAAGCTTAATATAAATATAAGAACAGAAGGTGCTTTATGGACAATGTTTGAATATGAAACCAAAGTAAAAGAAATCATAAATACACAGTTATAGAAAAAAAATAGAACTAGAATAAATAAAGCAAGCTTAATAAACCTAAATTAGCTACTTGATACAAGAGAAAAGAGGTTAATTATATAACAACAGCTAAAGAGTTACCAAGATCTATCAAGTAAGAAAAAAAAAACAAAGTAGTTTAAAGTAATAGAACTAAAAGTACTCAGTAAATCAGAAAGCAGAAAAAATCAAAAGACACTAGATGTTACCTGTCACTTCACTTCTAGTTTAAAATCTTTTTTTTCAGTTTATATTTATAAATAACTATATATTGTATAGAGCAAATTGGTTTTTATGACAAGTTAAATTTGACCCAGATCAAAAACGATCCTTAATAGAATTTAAGAAGTAGATACCGGGCAAGATTTTTTAATTGATTAATTTGATAAAGGTCAAGGTTAACTTGACTTAAAAGTCAATTTGACACATAACATATATACAATACATAACATGAATACGATGCAATTTATGGACAGCTAGTGATTTAACACTGAAGTATGTTCTATAACTGATAAAGATAAAAAACACCCATTAACTCCGAGTGTTATATATATTAGTGTTATGATTAGTAATTATTGCTGATTAGCTTTCAAGTTGAGCTTGTACTAAACCAATATGCCATTATTTCTCGTAAATTGTTAAAAATCTTTGATTGTAAATTCTACTGTCCTAAGATTAATGTTAGTCAAAAGTAACTTTAAGTCTGTAATAGAGTTGAAATAAGTTGGAATTGATAAGTTTTCGTAAAATATACTAATAAAATGGTTGTTCACATATTAAGTAAGACTAGTCAGATAATAATTTCCAGGTCTGGTATTATTGCTTAATGCTAGCAATAGGATTATTCTAACTTTACCTTAAATTTTAGTTGATGACTAATCCTGTATCAGTAATACCATTACACTATTTAAAAAGTAATAATATAGGATAAATTAAATGTAACGCTTACATGAAAGTCCAAACAATTTTAATATAATAGATAGATAGAGGTAATTTGAGTGCTTCCAGTTTTAAGTAAGAAAAGAAAGGTAAGTTAATCTAATAAGGAGGTAAATAATTTAGAAATTTGGAATAGAAAAAGCTGGTTTTTTTTAATTGATATAGATGTTTAGAAGTAATTCAGTTTAGTTTGTACAACATACAATGTAGAGTATGGTTTATAGGTATCTAAAATGGTGTGTCTCTTTTTTATCTAATTGGTTATTATAATCTTGTGATTTCGTTTTGTAAATTCTAGATTTTTACCTATAAGCTTTTGTCTATTAACACATGATAAAAAAAAAATGCAAATTAGATGTTTGTGATCAGATAATTATTATTTCTAGCTTATTGAATAATATTGATTTCTCTATTTATTATCTTGGCTTTTAACCTTGTCATACATTTATTAAATTATTCTCGATTTTACCTGTTTTGTTCGCTGCTCTGACCATATCGTTATATCATAGGAAGCAAAGTAGTTAGTACTGAGATGTCTGTATAATTTCATATATTTTTATAAAAGTTAAATACAATGTTTAGTAACTTATACAAATGTTGTTTCAAAAAAAGAGGTTTACCTACTTACTGTTAACAAAAAACTTATGACAAAGCAGTTCTATCTGCAACTTGATCTGAAAATCCATCTTTTATTCCTGGTTTTGCGTGATAACATTACGCAGCTACTTATTTAATTAAGGGATGAATTAGATAAATACAGGTAATTTTGGTTGAAATTTTGCATCAATGCTTAATATATAGTGATATTATTAAAAAATAAATATTAAATAGATTATAGATATAGTGCAGTTGTAATGTTAGTAGATAATGTATAGAGTTGAAGTTTACTTATACAAGAGTAATAGACATAAAAAAATCGAGTGTAAAGAATTAAGCTTTTTATTTTTTTTTTGATGTAATTATTGAATCATAAATTATAAGAATGATTTTTTGATAGTAATTTAAATTAAATTTATTAAGTAATAAATATAAAATACAAATTTAAAAAATATACATAATAGAAGAATAAAAAAAAAATAAAATGCTAATTAAATACTTCGGGATAGATGATATTTTTAGTAATAGTACATTGAGTAATAGCAGTATCTGTAGAGTTTGGTAGAAGAATTTTTAAATTATATCATGAAGTAACTCTCGAGCATGCAACATAGAGTTGTCTATGAGAGAAAACAGGAGTTTGAAGATATAATCCAACATAATTTAAAGTCTGGCCCTGAGATTTATTGATCATGAGAGCAAATGCGGGTTGAACAGAGAATTGTCATCGCTTGAAAGTGAATAGTAAATCTAGTGTTGAAGGAGAAAGGGTAAAACGAGGAAGGAAAACACGGGTTCCAGAATGCTTTCTAGTAATTATTTCATCATCAATAACATGTTTCAGAAAAGAATGACAGATCAATCTAGTCCTATTACAAAGACCATCCAAAGGATTGATATTTCGTAATAATATAATCGGAGAACCTGTTTTTAAGATTAGTTTATGTGAAGGAAGATCTGCGATAGATAAAGAGTTAAGAAATTCAGTAGGATACAGATTGGCAGTTTCATTGTGGTCTTCAAGTGTATTAGCACTAAGATATTCAGTTGGATTTTCTGGAAATTAATTTATAATAATAGAATTAATAGTATTAACTTGATCATTTTTAGGGGCAAGTATTGTGCATTCTACGAAATAGTTAGAATCATGAATTGAAGAAAATGTAGGATATATGGCTTGTATAAGGCTTTGCAAGTTTTATGATTGTAATATGATATCTTCTGAAAGCTTAATAATATCTGGTTCAGAAGTAATAGCAGGAAAACAACCTTTACTAATTTTAAGTAGCCATTTAGCAAATTCAGCTTGCTCATGTATATTAGAAGGATTGTTAGTATGAAGAAGGTGCATATTTGTTTTTAAGTGCAAAATTTCAACATGATTTCATAAATAGAATCAACGTAAACAGGAACCCACAATTTCTTCACAACCACCTTTTAATATTACAGAAAGAATTTGGTGAAAGTCACTCCCAAATATGACAACCTTACCTTCAAACGGGCAATCTTCTAATGCTGAATTAATAGCCTTCATGAGATCTTTTAGTGATCTGTCAAGTGCTTCAGGAGCATATCTATGGGCCATTGGAGCTTCATCCTAGACAATAAGGCTGGTGTTTTGCTAAAGTAAAGCTAATTCAGATCCTTGTGAAATAAAGCAAGTAGAGTCTTCGTGTAAATTGATAGGGATCTTGAATTGAGAATGTGCTATGCAGCCACTAGGTAAAAGAAGAGAAGCAATGCCTAAAGATACAACAGCAAGAGCTATAAGTCTAGTTAGATGAACTTTTGCTTAGATAATACTATAGGAGAAAAAAGTATGTATAAAGATAGAAATGAGGAAAAATTAAAATTAAAAAAAAATTAAATATTTACTTGTATAGAAAAGTTTTTCCAGTTCTGCCTGAACCATCTATAAAGAAAACAGCAGGAGTTTGATTGTTGACGGCAGCAATTACTTTGTCATAAACGGTGTGTTGTTCAGTATTTAATTGAGGGATTCCAGTTTCGATTATATGAGTTAGCTCTTCAATATTATAATTTTGTTCGTCTGTAATTATAGATGAATCGATAAAATTAGTTGGTAGAGGCATATTAGGAAAGTCAGAGAGAGTTTTTCCGTGTCTAAATAAAATAGATTGTAAGTGAATTAAAGCTCTGTTTTGCAGATCAGTATCAGTAAGTGTAGATTCATTAAGAAATCGAAAATCTTCAGTTAAATAATAAAAATACTTCTCCCAAAGAATTTTAGGCCTTAGAGGATTACAAAACAGAAGTAATGTAGCAAATAAAGTTTGCAATTGATGTCCAAAGCGAATTTGTGCTGCTTTGGCTAAACATTGATCCCATTCATCGTCACTTTGTAATAGACATAAAGCGAAGCAAGCTTCTTTAAAAGTAGTATAGAAAACACCATTTATAGTGCGAAGGTTTTCAAAAGAAGTTGCACTATGAATAACATTGAGAAGAAGTCAAAAATAATATCGTTCGCCAGCTGCTGGGTTTATAAAATACATTCATCCAATTACATTTTCACATTGCCTTGGCTTCTATTTATATGTGCGCTTGTTATAAACCCATTTAGTTGGAAAATCTTCATAGTTAAGGTTTCTTGCTTCAGGATATTCTAAGTTTGCATCGAACCATGCTGTAAAGGTAGTTTTTTTGGTTTTAGCACAGTTAAACATATATTGCAAGCATTCATCATCAGTAAATATTATTCTATGTTGTCCAGGAAGATGAACTTGGAGAGGTATAACAGCTGGACTTCTGTCATAGAGACAATAATGCAGTAATCGCCAAGAAGCTTCTGATGCAAAAACATAGCGGGTGTCAAGATAAAGACTTATTTCATCGTGATTTAAATTGCTGTCCTGGGGTGGTCTTCTAATTTCAACAGTAGCACAATCATGACCTTTATAAACATATTTGAAAAGATACTTAATAGCGATAATAGATGAACAGATTTCAACATTTATATAGCAATTAAATTTAGTAGAAAGATATGGATTATATGGAACAACCCACCTATTGTCCAATGTAACTCTATGTAATCCTATAGTTCAGCCATTTTCTCTTCGTCTATAGATAGGATAGCCATCATTATTTAGCATAGTAGATTGCTAAAAGCATTTGGAATATTCTTTAGAACATTTTTCATTTTTCATACAAGAAGAGCTTGGTATAAGTGCACCGCACAGTCCATGTATCATTGATTGCTTAATAGTTTCAAAAGTAGTAGGATCAGTATATTTGTCAAAGATTTCAGTTGATACAATAGAATCGTAATCATTAATGGTCTTAGACTTATGTTCATGTGCAAGAATAATGAGAATATGAGCATGAGGCAAGCCACACTTTTGAAATTCTATAGTATATAGATAACTTAAGACAGTTTCAAATATAGATTCTTTTAAAATTTCTTTAAGAAGTGATTTTAATTTTATATTAAAAACACGAGAAATTAAATCAGGACGATCCTGTGCTGTTTGAACTTGAAGAAGAGCATTAGTAATTTCAGGCCATTGTAGATTACAAGTCATTGTGATAAACAAATCAGGCTTGCCAAGTATTCGCACAATTGCCATCGCATCTTAATAAAGTAGATGCATATGACGAGGTCCACCTGTAAAGGTCGACAGCAAAATTATATGTTGGCTAAGATTTGTTGTTCTGGTTATATTATCTTCAGTGAGTAATGCATCCTGTAATTCATTATATAATTCCAAGTGTAGCTTTTTTTGATTATGCTTTAAATAGTTAAGACGCATTTGTTCTACAATCGCATACATATCAACTATCTATTGTTAAAAAAGCTGTCCAAATAAATGATAAACTACGGCTTCACCTAGTCAGCCAAGATGAATTCGATATGCATAATAATTTATTGCAGTAATATGTTTTGTATTATTTGCATCATTATCCTCAATCGATACAGAAGGTTCGTTGTATGACAGAACTTGATTAGTAGATATAGAATGATTAATAGAAATACTTGAATGCCAACCATCATTACCTCTGGGAAACATCAGGACATAATGCAAGAGTTCATAAGCTCGGTGAAGTTCAGATATTCTTTGTAATCCTCCATTATGCAGTTGTAGAATAATATCATAGTTCATAGGTTCAATTTCTTGTCCATTTCTGACTATGATGATGGTGACTTCTAAGGCAGTAGGAGTATTATATCATCGAGAATCGTGTGTCTTGTTGTCAGTAATGACTATTTTTAAATTTAGAGCAGGATTAGATATTAATATATTGCTAGCTTGTTTAAATATTTGACTATACAGATTTATATTATGTAATAATTGATGAAGATTAATAAGAATTAAAGGATCAAGCCTTGGCATTATATTTAATCTGTTTTGAAGCTCATGCTCTGTATCGTAAATATAAATTTGAGCGAATTGAGGGCGAATATTGTAATCGGGCAATAAAGTGCCTATACGATGATACATCTTACTATGAATATGAAAGCTGTAAGGACTACTTGTTCCTGTTATGCTTTGATCAATTTTTGCACCTATTTAAGTAAAGGCTAATGCAGAATTGTACATTCTTATATTTTTCTTAAATAGGCATGCAGAAGGGTCTGTTCTAGTAAGATGCATATTCAAAGGAGAAGGTAGTTCTTGAAGTGGTAGAAGAAGAACTTTGCCTTCAGCACAGCATATAGTAAAAACTGGAGAATGTGTAGAAGACCTTGCCTTCTATTCATCAATCCACAGAAGAGCTCCACAATTGCAACATCTATGAACTATACTTCCCAAATTGTGCTATGCTACTCACAGGAAGACCATAGATATATGCATGCTTTTAATAGTTGTGATGAAATCATAACTGAAGAATTAAGTGCAGGTGACTTAACTTGTATATCAACTACAGCTTCAGGAGTACTAATACAGAGATTCAAAGAAGAAGGGGTTAGAACATTAAATGCTTCATTACATATACTTACTTGCTCCTTTGATAGTATATATTCTTCAGTGGTGACTCTTTGCTTCCCTTTTCAAGTAGTGTTTTGTTCTGACCATTCAACCTCGTTTCGGTTTCTTGTAGCTTCTCTTGCTCTAAATTCAGCTTGTTTAGAAGATTTAGTATTACAGGCTCTTTCACTACTGATATCTAATATTGTTGCAACTTGCGAATGATAACGTTGTTGTTATTCATGATTAAGTCTTTTATGACATTCTTCAGGAGTTTCAGACACAATTTTATGAGACATTCTATCACAATACTAACTGAAAAAAATTGTAAGCAAAATAGGTGGCGATATATAAAAACTATAAAAAACGTGGTTGACAGCTCGATAAAGAGATGCAAAAAAAAAAGAGTCGAAAAAAATTAAAAGCAATTGAGTATAGTACAGTATAGCTAGAAGTAATGTGTGGACTATGTGTTAGGTGATACGCGAATATCTAAATTACCAAAAATTAAGAAGAAGCACATGGTAGATATTACACAACTTGTAATTAAATTATGCACACAATAAAAAAAATAGCATGTCTGTGAAAGGTTAAGCTACTACTTTCAATCACCGTCAGATTGTACGTATTCTCAAAGTATAAACTATTAAAAAAAAAAACTTATAAGGAAATTCAAAAGTTGCTTCTAATATTAACTAAACAAATATTTATATAAAATAAAAACTTTTAAAATTAATTACTTTAAGCAAAGCAAACAATATGTTGTTTTTTTAACCATGCTATTGTTCAACAAATTCTTTTTTAAAAGATAGGTTTTTTTTACTTAATCCTACCTCTTTTGAATGAAGATAAGTCAAAGAACTGAATTCTTCTTTCGTTTATATCATTTATTCATAAACTCATATTTTGAAGCACTTTTGATTGAATAGTCACTACTAAAATCATTAAGACAAATAACCTGTACTTTATTAAAAAATTGATTCTCTTTTACAGTAAGTCTTATTAGAAGTCAATATAGTATTTAAACTTTTAATTTGCACATTTTAATTATATTAGATAAAAAAAATTTAAGTTATAAAATGGCAAAAAAAATAAATATGATAAAATCGGTTTTATATATTCAACTTTAATTTCATAATAATTAGTCTTTTAAATTACTAAAATTACTAAATACAATAGTGTCAGATTTTAAGGTAGTGAGTAAAATTTGTGGCTTAACCAGTCACTGATTACGATGTGAACAAAATTATTTATATGTTGTAATCTAATCAGTACTTATGTGATCTTAACGATTTTTGGAAAATAGAAAAAAAATATTTATATGTTGTAATCTAAATGTTACTTACGTGATCTCAATAATTTTCAGTAAATAGATTTTAGAACAAACAGGCAAAAATATTCAAGCAATACAAATAAGATGAGAGTATATTTCAGAAGATAAAAAAAAAAAAAAAAAAGTAGCATATAGTACACAAAATCATTAACAGTTAGAAAAGATAGTTAAAAAAAAAAAAAAAATATTAGTAAAACATTGGCAATTGCAAAGAAAGTATACTAGCTGTAAAAATTAACAGTTGCAAAAGTTGTATAAAAAAAGAAGACCATTTAGAAGATAGCTGCTATTAGCAGTAAATAAGAATAAATAACAGAATCAATATAATTCCCAATGTATTTATAAAAAAAGGTAGCAACAAAATCAAGATAACAATAGATTAAATAACAGAAATAATAAAAATAAACAAACTAATAATCAGAAAACAGAAACTTGAGAGTCTTAGAATAATAGAAGAGCTAAAAGTAAAGATAATCAGACAACAAAATTTAAAAGAAAACATTAGTCAAGAAATAATAGAAGTTTTGAAAAGAAATATAATAAGAAACAAGAACAAGTATATAATGAGAAACAAGAACAAGTATATAATATACATAAATAGAATAGCAAACTTCAAGACTAAAGAAGATATAAAAATTAAAAATAGTATATACATAAGGTGGGTGCAAATAGATAAAATACAAGAATGATCAGAAAAAGAGTTAGCACTATGTCTAGAAGAATGGCAAATGTCAACAATAGCAGAATTAGTAATGATATAGGCAGCAATCTTAACAGTACTAAAAGAAAAGTAAATAGAAGTATATACAAATAGCAATGCTATAATAAGAAACATTAGTAAAAATTTAGAACAAACAGACAAAAATAAGATTTTTAAGAAGAAAAATGCAATATAGGTAATAAAAATTAAAGATCTTATTATAACAAAAAATATTTAAATAGAGTTTTTTAAAATTAAAAGCTACAATAAAGATAGATAAAATAATAAAACTAATAGTTTAGTAAAAAAAGATGCAACAAGTAAAAGAATAATACAGGTTGAAGAAGTCAGTTGCAAAGAGATAGAGTACTATTTAAAGTAGGAAAACAAATATAGTAACATACCAACAAGATTGCTTTGCAAGTTAATAATGAATGCAAGATAAGAAGCAAAATAAAAAGAAATAAATGCAATTAAAGAACTAGACCCAAAATTAGAAGTTAGGATTTATGATTAGACATACTTTTAGAAAATACTAAAAATAACTAAAGAAGTATACTGCACAATAAGAAAAAGTAATGCCAGAAGAAATGCATTTATAAAGTGTGTAATAGATAAACTTTCAATATTAGAAAAACTTAACTGAAAAAGACTAGATATATACACAACAAAATATCAAATATGCCAAAATAATAAAAAAAAACATAGACACATTTGATAGCATGTAAGAAACAAAAAAATTTTTGAAAAAGAATTCAGAAAGTGACTATTACAACAGCCTGAAAGGGGCTAAATAAAGAAAAAAAATTTAGGTCCTTTCATATATGCTATATGTAGTACTTTTTGGAAAAACAAAAGCAGAAAAAATAAAAAGTAAAAATAAAAAAGGCTCTAATTAAAGGTCTTATTTCAAAAGAAATACAAAACAGACTAGAACAGCTTCTAAGCATAAAATTAAGATAGCAGTTTATGAACATAATAGCAAGAATAGTCTAAAATATATTCTATAAACAAGTATAAAGAATCTGATGTAAAAAAAATCAATGAATAGAAGAAGAACAAAAGAATAATAGATAAGATAAAAAGAAAAAAAAAAAAGCATTAAGTAAAAAAGAAAAACTAAATCAGCAAAGAATAGAAAAAAGAAAAGAGAAAATAAAAAAAAAAGAAAATCAAATTAAAAAAAAGTACAAAAAACAATTTTAGAGCTTGTTATAAAAGAGAGAAGACCTTTTTATTATAAACTTTAAGTAGTTAGATAAGCAGCTTACTTCTGTTTAAAGTAATGCAGCAAGTTGCATTTAGGTATCATTAAGATGACTAAACTTAGATGTTAAGAATATTTATATAATTGCAAATGTAATTTCAAAATCTTAATAAAGTATTAGTGTAATTGCTTAAATATAAAAAAAATATAAAACTATATCTATTTACTTATTTTCTTTATCTAGATTATAGAAATATAATATTAATATTTAAAACTAATTATAAAATTAGTTTTATATATATATATATTTTTTAATATTAAAGTTCTTATCTTCAGAATGTGATATTTTTATTTAAATATATAGGACATAGCATGCCACTAGAGGCTCCTTATATTGAAGGTTACAACTATCTACATGTGCACTTTTAATATCTAATTTAAGTAGTTTGCTTATATATTACTATATAAGTTCTATACTAGATGCCATACCTGTAAGCCAATTAAGGGTCTTGCTTATTTAAACCCTCTGTATATACAATCTTTTTTGTATTATGAGAACATCTTTAAAACTACATCTATTTAAGTTTCTGATGCTGGTTAATATCTTTAGGACTACTTTATCCTTAATAGAAAACTTACTAAAGTCTTTATATTACATACATATTGATTTAGTTTTATACAACATGTTATAGTTACTTAATACTTGCAGTTACAAAGGTTATCTGTTTAATCACTATTTTACACTATTTCTATTCTTGTAAAGTTTACTAGAACCCCAATATTTATCTTTCTAGTATCTTCTTCATCATCTTCTACTAGCTACAACTCAGAACTGTCAGTCTTATTTTAGACTACCAATTTAGATAGCCTAATATAGTATATTTTTGTATTTTTTTTTCCTAATGAGTCTGATGGCCTGGTTGGTTATATGCTCTTTTACACATATTTGTCATCCAGTTTTAACCTTCAGTTTCTATAAAGGTGTTTTATAGGCTTTAATTAGTTTAATGGTATTGTTAAAAGTTTATGTTACCTTTATACTTAGAAATTTTCAAGTAGTTTTTATCATCTTGATTCTTTAGTTTTCTACATTTAGTAGTTTTATTATAAGTTTGCACTAAAGTTTTATACAATACCAGTTATGCATTTCTCTATGTATATGTAATATTACACTTTATATAGATACTCTAAGCTTTCAATATTAGTAGAACCTAACTTGATATATTTAAATTACAGTTATATAAGGCCAACTGATCAACAAGAAACAGTTACTATAATATAGATATAATTTCCAAATTTTATTATAAGTGAGATTTAAACCTTAGACCTGTTACTTAGAGGATAACAATCTAACTATTGCATTAAAATCACTATTCTTTAGTTTTATATTTTTTAAATCAAAATAATATATATTTTTATAGTTATTATTATTATTATTTGTTTGGTATTAAGGTGACTTCTTTGGTCTTTTGACTTTTATTAATAACTTATTGGTAATATGTTTTTATAAGCCATTACAGAAAAGAGTACAATTGACTACATATATAACCTTTTTATATTACCTATTTAAGAAGTTTGCCTGAAGGTTTCTTACTAATTGCCATATCTAACATTCCTGCTTGGATGTTCTATTTTAAATTTTCTAAACCTATAACCTATATTAACTTACTGAATTATATTCAGATATTCAAATCATCATCTCAACCTTTGTATATATTTTTATAGCTAACTTAAGTATCATTATGGCAAAACTAATACTTATAATTAAAGTTATATCATTTAACTACTGTGTTCTTGTAGAGTTCACACAAACCTCAGCATCTACTTCACAACATAATTCTGATACTTTAGTATTTTTTATCTTTTGTTTAACCTTTTTACTAAACTTTCAATTCAGATAGCTTGTGTAGAACTATGATCAGTTTATCAGTATATTAGGTTAGCTTAATAATCTTTTTCTCTAGTTAATTCAGATGGTCTGATCAAAAATAGTAAATGATCTGATCATTTGCTTAAAATTTAAATGATCTAGTTATTTGTCTAAATGATCTAGGTTATTTGATCATTTGAATATAAAATAATTTTATTAGTTAAATAGCTAATATAAAAAGATTTTGAACATTATAATTTCACTAATGCACGTACTGAATCTGTGACAAGTTATGTTGATCATCACTGATTGTAGTCAATAAAATCTCAAGATCTTGTATAACTTAAAAACAATCGAAAACAGAAAAATCGCAAATAACTCAAAATTATACTATGATAACCACATTTTGACTTCTAAATAAAAGTTTTCATCATAAAATTTTAGTTATATGAGAATATTTTTAAATATCAAATATTAAGTAAATTAAAGCCTGTGCTAAATTCTGATCTTTGTGCTCTTTTGATTTGGTAATCGACATAACCTGTCACAGATTCAGTACGTGCTTCACTAATTAACAATTATAGCTATATTGATTAACTTAGTAAAATATTAACTTTTATATATAATTATAATTATTAATTATATTTTATTTTTATAAAATAATTAATTTAATTAGTTAAAAAGTATAGATTATTAATTAAAAAATAACAAATGACTTTTTAAGATTATTTAGGTTTTGAAATAACAAATGACTAATTATTTGTTATTTGAGTTATTTAAGTCATTTTAGGTTATTTACTATTCTTAAGTCTGATTAGTAATATCTTTAAAACTCTAAACTCAGAGATTTTTGCCTATCTAACTACTATAACTAGGTATTATAACCTTGTTATTTGTTTTCCTAGACTAGCCTTTACTGTAAGGCTGTCAAAAATCTGGTTATCTTTTTGCTTAGATCTTCTCAAATAAACTTCTTGTTACCTAATTTTAACAGATTTACATAGTCACAAGGACTTATTTAGTATTTGTACTGCTCAATTTGTTAGTTTGCATTTCTCTGTATAACAAGTTACACAGATGCCCTATAACCTGTCAATCATACTGATGTAATTATCATTACAGATATTCTAATCTAATTGTTAGTAACAGTTGCTATAATATAAATATTATATTATATAGATGACTATTCAAATTTTTACTATAAATAGGATTTGAACACCCAACTTACCACTTGGAAGATTAATAACCTGACCACTTTACTAGGTTGCTACATCTCTTTTTATAGTTATTATTTAAACTTTATAAGCTTATATATTTTAAAATTTAAAAATTAAATATAAAATTTTATATAAATATAGATGTAGCAACCTAGTAATGTGATCAGATTATTAAGCCTCTAAGTAGTAGATTGGATGTTTAAATCCTATCAATAGTAAAAATTTGGATAATCACCTATGTAATATTCATGTTATAATAACTTTACTAATAATTAGGTTAGGATATCTGTAATAGCAGTTGCATCAGCATAACTGACAAGTTATAGGTATTTGTGCAATGTTGAAGTTATACAGAGAAATGCAAACTGATAACTGGATGATGCAAACACTAAATAAGTTTTTGTGACTATATAAATCAGTTGAAATTGGGTAACAAAAAGTTTATTTGGAAAAACCTGAATAAAAAGATAGCTAAAATTTTAATAATACTATTATAAAGACTAAACTATTAGAAACAAATACCAAGATCTTAGTAATCAAACAGGCAAGAATCTCTGGCTTAAAAATCTCAGAGATACTACCAACCAGGCTGCCAGAATAAACCAGAAGAAAAGATTATTAAGCTGATTTAATATACTGATGAACTGGTCATAGTTCTATATAAGCTATTTGAATTAAAAATCTAATAAAATTTAGGAGTATACTAAAATACTAAAAATATACTATAAAATAGATGTTAAGGTTTAAGTAAACTCTATAAAGATACAGCAGTTTAATGGTTAAGCCCTAATCACAAGTATTGGTTCTATTATAGTAATATCTAGGTTAGCTATAAAAATAGATACAGAAGACTCTGAAAGATTTATCTTAAGGATAAAATAGTCCTAAGATTGAGATGATAATTTGAACATCTAGATATGACTTAATAAGTTAACACAAGTTACAGGTTTAGAAGGTTTAAAGTAAAACATTCAAGCAGAGATGTTAGATATGACAATTGATAAAAAACCTTTAGACAAACTTCTTAAATAGATAATATAGAAAAGTTATATATGTAATAATTGTATACTCTCTTGTAGTAGTTTATAGAATCACATTATCAAAAGTTGTTAATAAAAGTTAAAAGACTAAAAAGGTTACCTTAACATTAAAAAAAAAAATCAAATATGAAATTTTATATAAATAAGTTTAATATAAACTTTAAAAAATTTTAATTTATATTATCTATTAATTTATATTATTAATTAAGAGTATAAGAACTTAGTAAAGTAAATAAGTTGCTATTTTTTTAAGTAACAAATTATAAATTCAAAACTTACTGCTAATAAAATTTAAAAAAATATATCTATATTACAACAATAGCATTCTGTTAATCAGTTAAAATAAGATATCTACAACTATAGTTATACTAGCATGACTAATAGATTATTATTATTATTATTTTATAGTTAAACTAGTCTTTTTGGGACTAAGGCTTTTTTATTTAGTATAGTAGAATACAGTAACTCACAGTCTGATTATCTCAGAAGAGCTACCTTACATTAGAGAGTACATCTAGCTATACTTATATTTTTAGTATCTAATTTAAGTAGTCCACCTATATATAGGGTTTTATACTAGCTGCCATACCTGCAACCCAACTACAGATGTTGCCTATTTAAACTCTCTGTACTGCAATTCTTACTGTATTACTAGAACATCTTCATTATACAATGTTAGTTAAAAAGTTCTAGATATATACCTATACCCTTAGGAACTCTGCTTTATTTTATGCAGATTATTTTCAAGACATTATTACTAGAGCCTTTTGTATTTTAATTTATAGCTAAACCTAGTTTACAATCTTTGCGAAGTTTATACAATCCTAGTATTCTTCTTTTACAACCTTACTAATACCTCATCTACCCTTACAAGTCCTTCTATATTACCAATCCAGTTAGTCTTGCATGATGTGACTTCATGCCTAGATCAACCAGTGGCCAGATTGGTGGATCTCCTACTTAAAGGTTCTTGTCTATACAGGTTATCTGCTTCAGGTTTTCTTTTTCAAATCAAGATTTTTATAGATGACACTGTTGAAATTTGTACTACTTTTCTGCTTAGGATTTTCAAGTAGGTTTCTAATCTGAGTATATACTTTTCAGATTTATTTATATGATATTGTACATTTTCAAAGTTAGTTTTGGTATAACCAGAATTACAAGATCTACAAACCCCAGATCACAGATAAGTTTGTCAAAATAGGTCTATTTTTTCAAAATTCTGTCACTAATGGGAATTGAACATTGGATCTACTGCTTGAAGGATGACAACCCAGTCACTACACTAGGATCTCCATTCTCTTGACTAACAGATTATAAAATATCTGTATAATCTTAGTTATACAAAAAGATACAAACTAATACTAAGTAATACAAACTTAAGATAAGTTCTTGTGATTATATAAATTTGTAGAATTAAGAAAAACTAAAACCTACTTAGAAAAATTCATATAAAAAGATAACATAGATCTTTGATAATATTATTGTAAAAACTAAATTTAGAAAATTGATATCAATATAAAAGAATTAAATAAACAAAAATCTTTAAATAAGAGATACTACTAATCAGACTATTAAAATCAAATTAAAGAAAAAAAATATTAGATCAAACTTAATATACCAAAGGCAAATTATTGTTTTATTAGACTATTTAAATTAGAAGTTAGACATAATTTTGTTAATGTTTTATAAAGTAAGTAAATTAGTTAACAAAAGAATCTTTGAAGTTCTACAATCAAGTAATATATTTTAAAATATATAATAACTTGACAGATATACAGAAAAAAAAATCAATATTAGATTAAATGATATTTAGTTATATAAAAACCAAACACTATTTGTCTGACATAGTATAAAGATTAAAGTATTTAAATAATTAATCTTTTAATAAATTGCAGATAGAATAATTAATGTAAAACCTATAAGCAAATTACTTAAATTAGGTAACTAAAAGTTATATGTGTAGCTAGTTGCACACTTATTATATACAAGTTATATATATATATATATAACTAAAAATATAATAAAGACAATAGTTGCTAGAATTGCACCAAAGAATATTTTACAAAATTTGTATAATAACAGTTAAATTTTATAAATATATTTATAATAATGAAACCATATGTTAATATATGATTACACAAATAATTAAATATAAAAAAGAATTTTTTTATTTGATTTTAATTACAATTTTTTTAAACTATTCAAATTATAGTAAAGAGTAATCAAAGATGATTATTTCTATCTTCAAGACCTTGTTCAGATTCTTTTTGCAATAGTTTCTTTACAAGCAAACTGTAGATGTAATTTTTCAATTCTAAAATAGTTATATGACACATATTAATCAAGATTAATATCTAAATAAATTGACAGTATGATGTAAATTCATTCTTTTTATATTTTTAATTTTAAAAAAGAACTTCTATTTTATGAAAAGAAATTATCTGAAAATAAGTTATATAATAATGCATTAAATCAAACAACATATTTGGTAGTTGAAAATGTTAATATAATTTTAAGTAATAATGAAAAATTATTAGCAAATTTACAATCAAGTAATGAAAAACTTGAAATTGGATCAATCATTGACTTGTCAAATTCTATATTTGATGGACAAGATAGTTCTAAGAAATTCTTTTCAACAAGAACACAACAATTTAGATTTTGACCCTGCTACTATTGTAGAAAATTGAACAATTATGTCTCAAAATATCAAGCACAACAATCATAATTCATTAATATAACATTTTTTTTTTACATGTTATAATCTTATTTTTATTTATTATCAATGTTTTGTCATTTGTATTTTTCTTTTTGTATTACTCTTTTGGTACGTATTAAAAATGAAGCATATAAATCAAATATTTTAATACAATTGAATAGCTATAGGAATTAGCAACTAACGTTATCGCTATAAATAAAATTGGCAATTAAGTTAACGCATTAGGTCACATGCCTGTTATAATTCGTTATGGTTACATGTTTTAATTTGGGACCTGGTCGAAAGTTTCGGCTAATCCCACATATAGTTTAGGTTACAGCACAATTGTAGAATCCAGTAAAAACCTTTGGGATTCTATGAATCCCAAACTACCGGGTTTGGACAACATCGCTAATGCCCAGCTTCATAATCAAACTTAGTTCATAAGCAATTCTGCCTTACTCATAGCTTGTTTCAAAATATGTTGAAATAGAAATAAATAAATTTCTACACAAAATAAGTTGCTATCACGATATAAAATAATGCGCTTACATTATGTTGAGCCAGATAAAATCGATTTTTTGGTTCTCATAACATTTTAAAAAAAGTGACCCGGCATCCGCCTTTATAATTTATTTTCAAAAAATTATATAGAATTTTTGGTTTTATTTTTTTTTAAAAAAACCCCGGATAATAAATATGCTTAAAATTTTTTTCTTTAGAAAAATTTGACCCGGCCTAAAAAATTAACTTTGCTTGGTCTTATGATATACTCTTCTTTTTCTTCTTTCCAATATCTTCACTCTTTTTACGTCTTTTAGTAATATTATCTATAAAAAAAATCAAAAGTGCATAAATACATCTATCTACTTTAAATATTCAGATTATCGATATATACCCGCGTTTGGTTGGTTGGGACTTGAAGGCTGTGCGAGCGTTTGATCCAGAGTTTGCTTAATGAATAATAATAGAATGTGTAAATATTACTATTTCGTAATGAAAAAAAGGCAGCAAATTAACTACAAAGGTAACAAGCCAACGAACTGTATCAGAAATAGTCATATCACTTTGACTTCCAGTTGTCAGTTCTTGTATTTTCTCTTGGGATTGCGCGAAAACTTGATTTAATTGTTGTGTCATTTTAATTGTAGTAGATTTAAATGCACGTTCTACTCCATTACGAAATTCCAATAATTCAGCGGGATCTTGTTGGGCTATTCGAGACTCTTTAAAATAATGTCATAAATAAATATTAACATCTTTCGAAGAGCACATAGTGTATGTAGATTCAAATTACTTTTACTACTTGATGTTCCTAACTGAGAATCTCCGACTTTCCATGTATATCCGGTTGCAGGATGAAATTCAACATGTTGATACGCTGTATTAAAGGCCATATGTAATTGATAAAGGCTTGTCAACTACTTCGAATAATTCTGGTCAGTCATTTAATAACGTTAAGTACATAAAGCTCAGTTTTATCTCAAAAAATCCTTACGACACGATTTCCGATAATTGAATATAAACTTGGTGCTTGATAAATATTATAATTCAAGATATAATATGTTGCGACTAGGTTAACTACGAATTTATTGAGCAATTAAAATTAGAATTTAATAAAATTGGAATAGATAAAATAGTGACAAAGACTATACAAACGAACCTTCCCATTCGCTAAGACGCTTTTGCTTTCGAATAACCCACAGTGCTGGAGGCCTTTCATGTACCACTTGGAATTCAATTCCCTTCATTTTCCTATAAATTATGCAAACTTCATTCGAATAAACATTTCGGAAACTATTAATATATTCGTATATATGTATTTACTTCAAAAGCATGGTGAGATCCTTTAGATCATTAAAACGCGTTTGCATTTTCAAACTAGCGTTATTGCACTGCTGATCCCAAAATGGTGACGTCTCAAAGTAACTTAGGACATTATTCGAATTTAGTCCATCTGGTTGCTGTAAATTCGGAATTTTATGGTGAAATTACGTCCTAGATAAGACATTTTTAGGTTGACATACCGCGAGGATCCAGTCAAGATCTCTCCATATAATAGTAGTTGGATCAGGTTCGACCATTTGCGTTATCCTTCCTTTAGCATGATGGAATTTGTTTTCATTAGCTGATATGCAAGCATTTGTCAGGTTTTGCCCAATTTTAATTTTGGCCAATCATTTGTCAGGTTGGTGTTATCCGGCAATTTATGATCATGGCCTCGATTTACTTTCCTCTCTTAGATCTAAAAAATAATAATTATACAGAAAAAAAAAAACCTTTTTTTCACTGGTGCAGTAACATTTTTTCAGTGTTATACTTATTTTAGACCTTGACATTGTCAATTTTATCCTGAAAGCCATGCCCATTTTGTAATGCCAAAATCAAAATATAAAATAAACAAATCTGATAATATAAAAATTTATTATCTAGAATCAAAACTGCAACAAACAAAATTATTTTAGTTGTGATCAAAGAAAAGTCATTTTAACTATGATTAGTAATGAAGATTTAAACTTGAACAGTAATATTAGATTAATTGTAATCACTAATAAAATTAAAGTCAATAGTTTTAAGAAATTATGCTAGTACTTATTAAGATTCTTAAAATTACTTTTGCAATTATATAAATATTATCTAACAACTAAGTTTAGCATCATTTGATTATCCTAATAGCATCTAAGTGCAACCTGTTGTTACAGAGTTGCAGCCTTTTTGGTATAATACAATCAAGTAACAAAATTATCTAGTATAATAATTTACTATTGCAAAGTAGAGATATAATAGTTTATTTTATTATATAGCAGCAAGCAAATAGTTCAAGATAATAATAATATAAATTAAACTTTATTAAACAAACACACAATAATAATCTTGCCTGTAGAAGTTATTTTAAAGAAGAAATATTACTTTTACAAGTTAGAAGTAAAAGTAAAATGATCTAGATCAAAATATAAAAACTTAGAATTAATAAGAAAAAAGAAAATATATATTTTATATATTTTTTTACTTAATGCAGATAATAAGAATTTGAACAATTGAAGTGAATAGATTGTCAACTCCCAAGTGGCAGGTCTAGAGTTCAAATCCCAGTGACAGTGAAAATTTGCAATTCTTTCTGTGTTACAGCTAACTGTCTTC